TTTGAGAAAACTTCAGATGTTTAGGGAAGCGTCTTTAATTAAAGCCTTACCTTTTTATAAAAATAGAAACAGGAACAAAATAGAACTTTTGTGGATGAGAAGACTATCATGTGTCTATTTAGTCAAATTGCTATTGAGAGGGAAGTAGCAAGGTTCAAAATCTTGGGCAAACAGTACTTTGGGTTTCTCTGAGTGACTATCACGACCTCAGCCAAAGAAAGAAGGAATACAGTTTTTGTCTTTTATACCATAACCTAGTGAAATATAAAGGTTATATTATTCTGTTGCCTCCAATTCTCCAGTATAACTAATCCATCTTGGAGAAACTGAAGAAAAAGATGCTATACTAACAAATTGAGAGCTGGAAAGATGGCTCAGTGGTTAAGAGCACTGACTACTCTTGGAAAGGACCCAGGTTCTGTTACTAGCACCCACATTACAACTCACAATCATTTGTAACTCCAGTCCCAGGGGATCAAATGCCCTCTCTGGCCACTGTGGGCATTGCTTGAACATGATGCACCTACACGCATGCAGCCGGACACCTATCCCTATACAAGAAAAGACTCTAAAGGCTAAGTGAATCAACATACTCACGGTCTACATATGAAAGCACTTGCTAAGAGGACTGACTGCTGGCTCCCTTAATATGTGTTCAGAAAGCTTTGGGAGATTTGGTATTGAGACATGGATTTTGGAATTAGACTCATCTGCGGTCAGATCCCTTAACTGCCATTTATTAATTGTAAAACCTCAGTTGCTACACCCGAGTCTTAATGCCTAAGTAAGGTTATCATATCTAGAGAGTTAGATGTCGTTATTAATACAGAGGTTCTTGGGCTGGCTAGGTAGAGGATCAATGCTTAGCAATTATAAGTTCCTTTGAGACTGGAGATGGCTGAGGGGTTAAGAGTACTTGCTCTTGCAGAGGACACATGTGTGGTTTCTGGAAGCTACCTGGTGGCTCACAGCCATTCATTACTCCAGTTCCAGGGGACTGAGTGCCCTCTTGTGAATTCTTCAGGTGCCGCACACACAGTGCACATACATACAGGTAAAACACTTAATACACTCATACTGTCTTATGATATTCAATTTTTGTGAAGAGACACCGTGACCGCAATAACTTTTATAAAGGAAAACATTTAATGGGGGCTTAGAACTTGAGAGGTTTAGGCCATTATTATCTTGGTGGGACATGGTGGCACGCAGGAAGACATGGTCCTGGAGCTGAGAGTCCTTCATCTTGATAGGCTGGCAACAGGAAATGAACTGAGACACTGGGTGTATCTTGAGCATTTGAGATCTCAGAGCTTAGCTTCACAGTAACACACTTCCTCTAACAAGGCCATACCTATCTTAACAAAGCTAAACCTCTTAATAGTGCTACTCCCTTTAGGGGCCATTTTCTTTCAAATTATTGCATTCCACTCCCTCTCTCCCAAAGGCTTTTAGACATATCATAATGCAAAAATCAGTCCAACTTCAAAAGTCTCCATAGCCTGTAACAGTCTCAAACTTATTTAAATGGCTAAGGTTCAAAGTCTCTTCTGAGATACATGTAATCTCTTAACTGTAATCCCCTGTAAAATCAAAATAGAAAAGCAGATAACATACTTTCTACTTATAATGGCACAGAATATACATTATCATTCCAAAACGTAGTGAAGGGAGCATAGTTAGGAAATACGAGATTAAAGCAAAACCGAAAACCAGCTGGACAAACTCAAAACTCTGCATCACCATGTCTGATATCAAAACTTTCCAGATCTCCAACTTCTTTCAATTTTGTTGATTGCAACACATTTTTCTCTCTTGGGCTGGTTCCACTCGCTGTTAACAGCTTTTCTTAGCAAGGTATAGGATAGCTCTCTGCCATCTCCAATATCCTGGAGTCTCCAACAAATCCAGGCTTCACTTTCACATCTTCATGCAGTGGCCTCCTGGGCCTCCATGCAGGGACACCCATGCCTGACCTCAGTGGCTTTCCTTAGTCATGGCAGAGACTCCATAATCCTTCTTCTCTCCTTGACTCTAAAGCCAGAACCACATGGCTTAAGGTGCAAAATTCAGCTGGTTGCTGGGGCTGGAACATGACTCCCTTGTTAATGCCGTCTTTACCAGCTGTCTGTATTCCATGGCTTCCTTCACTGCCTGAGCTTGGAATTGTTCTGGAACTTGCTCTGTAGACCTGGCCTCACACTCAGAGATCCACCAGCCTCTGCTTTCCATGTTGAAATTAAAGGTGTGCACTTGGCTCTAACATATATAAGAACATCCTACATCACATAACAGCTTGGACTCCACAATGGGAAAGCAAAACCAAACAAGGGGCCTGAGAAATGGAGGGTTTAGTTGTGCAGAGAGGAAAGGGAGTGATCTTTAGAAGGAGGACGTGCTCATGTTTGGTGGCAGGAGGTGAGGGTGCGGAAGCACCAAACCTTGTGATTAGAGCTGAGAGTGAATGGTAGTGGAGATAGATGAAGGGTGCGGGTCATTGCAGTGTGGGCTTCTCCTGAGTTGGGCCCTAGGGTGGGTGGGAATTTACATGGCAATGGAATAGGAAGAACACTTTAGGTAGACGCAGAAGCTGTTGGCATAAGTCCTTGAATTGCATCTTGATGTGACCACAGGTGCTGCTTGCCTTTTCACCCTACAGTATGGTTTCTCTCCTTTGTAGGCTGATGAATTCATCCGAGCAAATGCTACTAACAAGCTGACAGTCATTGCTGAGCAAATCCAACACTTGCAAGAACAAGCGAGGAAGGTGAGAAAGGCCAGTGCAGGTTAGGCAGGCTTTTCTTTTCCTTTGCTTGGGAGGGTTAGCCGAACTTATAATCATGGTGCCTTCTTTGTTTTTCATACATTCTGAACATGTAGACCTTTTGATTAAATGCCAGAAATATGCCCAAGAGGTTTCACTAATTTATTTTGTGTGATGAAATACACACTGTGATGAAATACCTGGAGCAGGTTAGCCCTATAATGATGTTTATTTTGTACATACGTTTAGAGGTTCGAGGGGCATGGTGCTGGTGTAGCTCAGCTCTGGGGAAAACTCTCTGGGTCACGTCTAGTCACAGCAGAGCATGTGTGGGAGAACAGACACATCTTGAAATGGGGCTACAGATTCAGGTGTCAGGCCCTGGCTTTTACAACATCGAGTCCTGGTTTGTGTCGCTCTCCCCAGAATTCCCTTCTGAGGGCAGTGCCCTCCCTCTTATGTCACTGTGCTGGTGGCCAGGCTCCTAGCATCCTTTAGGAGACAAATGACATCTGAACCATAACAGAAGTTAAGCAGAAGTGGGTTTTGTTTCCTATCCAGGAGAAAGGTAAGATAAAGCTTTTTAAGGGAGGAAGAGTTTCTTAAGAAATGTACTTGACCCAGGAAAAGAACTTAGAATCCCCCAAGTCAGCCACACCAGCATTAAAATCTTACCCCTCTAATAGCTTTCCCAGCACAGCAACTTGTGTAACCTCCATTCTTCCAAACCATTTGCACCCCAGTAGTGAGCCATTGCTGCTGGGGAACCAGACTGCAAGCTTGGAGTTTTTGCTTTGCTTAGGGTAATGTGGGTGAGGCTGGGTACCTATGACTCATCCCCTGCCTTACCTGTGTGGCTGGCAGGTACTGGAAGATGCTCGCAGAGATGCTGACTTGCACCACGTGGCTTGTAATATGGTGAAAAAACCTGGCAGCATTTACTATCTTTATCAGCGGGAAAGTGGCCAGCAGTACTTTTCCATCATTTCTCCAGAGGTAAGAACATTCATTCTTAACTCCAGACCAGCTCCAGCCTTTGAGAAATGCTGGGCATGTTGTGTGAAAATGTAGCCTGCAGCTTGGTCAGTGGTTTCCTAGAAAGTGAAGTGATGTGAGCCCAGATATGATGAAAAGTTGTGTGTGTGCTTGAATGATATTCTTTCCTTTTTTCTCTGTTTTTGTTTTTCAAGACAGGGTTTTTCTGTGTAACAGTCCTGGCTTTCCTGGAACTCACTTTGTAGACCAGACTTGCCTCAAACTCACAGGGATCTATCTGCCTGGCTCTGTCCCCCAAGTGCTGGGATTAAAGGCGTGCGCCACCACCACCTGGTGATACTCATTATTTCTGATGTGTAATATAACTTCCAATGATGGTTTGAGTAGTCTGAAGTGAAAAGCATAAAAAGAAGTCTATGTAGAGAAAGAGCCTTGTTCACTTCTCATCCTGATGAGGATTGCTCCTTTGCCCTCTAGGAATGGGGAGCAGGCTGTCCACATGACTTCCTTGGTGCCTACAAGCTGCAACATGACTTGTCGTGGACTCCATACGAAGACATTGAGAAGCAAGATGCTAAAATTGGCATGATGGACAAGCTGCTGAACCAGCCCATGGCCTTGCCCCCATGCACTGAACCCACCTTCCAGGGACTAACTCACTGAGTGTGGCTCTGAGGAACAGTGCTCATGACAAAGGCCTGACCACCACCAACCATCTCCTTGTCCACATTCTCTTCCTTGTGTGTGTGTGGCTCATGGGGACTTTGGGTTTTGGGGTGAGTCATGAACTTCTTGGAGGAAAGCCTGGTGAATGTAGACATTCACCAGGTAAGGATGGTGAATGGAATTGCTGAACTCCTGTGGGATCTTCCTGGGCCCACTGATGCCCGGTCACTCGGTTTCAGAGGATTAGCTAGTGCTTTCCTTCACCTCAGCACCGGGGAAGGAAGAAGTCTCTTCCCACAACAAGCTGCTGGGTCATTTTCCTGTCTTTTGTGTCAGGTTGGTATTGATGCTGTCTACGTAGGTGCTGTGCCAATTTAAGGTTGATTCAGGAATTGCAGTGTTGCTATGGAGGATTAAAAGAAACAGACAACTTGGCACGGCTGGGTGAGAGTGCTGATTCTAGAGTTTCAGTCCTCATGGCGTCCTTCTGGTTCGCCCTTCTGCCCTTCCTAGTGAGAGTGACTGGAGACCGAGGCAGCCATCCTAAACCTCGCAGATGCTTAGGGCTGGAAGAGGTCGCAAAGGCTGCTACTGTCTGAGCCCACTCTGAAGCCTCCTTAGGACAGCCTGAGCTCAGCACCCCGCAGGACAAGCCCATCAAATGGCATTTTTAAGATAGAGTGTGGAAGGACTGGAGAGGGGTCAGCAGTTCAGGGTGCTTGCGGCTCTGCTAGAGGGCCCGAGCTCCGTTCCGAGCACCCACGTTGGACAGCTCACAACTACCCATTGTTTTTTTTTTTTAATTTTTTTTTTTTTTCAAGAGAGAGGGTTTCTCAGCAACTATGGAGCCTATCCTGGAACTCGCTCTATAGACCAGGCTGGCCTCGAACTCACAGAGTTCCTCCTGCTTCTGCCTCCTGAGTGCTGGGATTAAAGGTGTGCACCAACACCGCCTGGCCCACCTGTAGCTCTTAACTCCAGGAGATCTCATAACACTTGATTTCCATGAGCCATCTAGACACCCAGATATACATATTTATACATTTAAAATCTTTTCAAAAAGAGACTGGAAGAGAGTAGAGCAGTGGGGGTGAAAACAAGAAAAACCACTCACCTGTCCACAGATTGTGGGTTGACTGGGATTATTTATTTATAGGTTTTCTGTAGCCCAGGTTAGCCTGCAGCTGACTAGCACAGGCTAACCTTGATCAATGTGATAATCCTGCCTTAGCCTCCCTAGTGGACTGAACCATCACACCTAACATGTTAACGCTAATTGAAACTCATTTTTATTGCTTACTGAATAAGTCATGAACTGCAGAGGGACCGGGGATGTAGCTTAATGTTAGCGTGTTTACACAGCATGCATGAGGCTCTGGTTCCATCTCCAGTACTGCAGACAAGCAGTACCGAATGGGGCCTTTTGTGCCCAAAACTCTTATGAGTGGACTTTTTTGGATTCTACCTCGTTTCAATTTATAGCATAAGCAGAGTGACTGCTTCTTCATTGCAGTGTCGTCTACTGTAATGTGTTCTAAAGAACGTGAGGAATATGTGCTGGAGCCCACAGGCCCAACTTCGGGTATACACTGTCTTGGTGTTTACGGCTTCCCTTATGAACAGTGCACCTTGTGAGCTAGAAGTGGTCCATGCCTAGCACAAGAAGCCGAAATCTAGCAAGGAACATGGCCATTCTGTTCACACAGAACTGTCTTGTGTGAGCTGCGGAAAGCCCCTCGCTGGGAAGCTGCAGACCTGGTAGACTTTCCTGGGGTGTTTTGGATCCTGACTCCGGAATGTTGCCCAGGTCTTGAGGAGGTTCTGACCTGGTGGTAATGATGGTTTTGAGTAGTGCGTAGTTTGTAAGGAGGTAAGCATTGTCGCAGGGCTAGTGGTTTAAGGCGACACTCACCTACTCGTGGTTTCACTGTCTTCAGCCTCAGGGTTTCTTTGGTACTGCAAGGCTGTAGTCAGGTTTTTGGCTAGGGCTGGATTCTCTGGGCCTTACTATCTGCATCCAAGCTCACGTGATTTTGGCAGAATTTTGGTTCATTGGAGATTGCTGGGCTACCTGCTAATGGATAGATAGAGGTCTCCCTCAGCTTCTTACCACAGGTGTCCTTTCCTATCTCAACACTGATCTCTGCCTCCTGATCTCCTCGCTCCTGTGTAATGCTCTCCCCTAAATGTAGGCTGGCCTAGAGACTGACTTCTAGACAATACAGCAAAGATGGCATTTCTGTGGTGCGACTCCACAGGCTGGAACCTCCGTTCTGCTCGTGAGCTCCATCCTTTCTGATGCAGAGTGCACCTATGTTTTCAGGGTAAAAGGCGATTGTGGTTGGATGGTGTTGATACCACGGATCTGGACTGCACACAGCACTGGCAGAATAACCTCCTGGATACATTCCGGTTCCCTCTATCTTTCTCAGATCCTTTGGCGTGCAGTATCACGCTGAATCACTGAAAATGTAGATTTCTCTCACTTTTGGTATTTCCAGCAGCGAGCTGCGCCTGGAGATCAGTGGTTTCCAAAGAGAAACTTCTTGTCCAAGAAGATGTACTTCCCATTTTGGCCACCAGGTAGTGCCAGTGCTCTTACCTGGTTAATCTGATTGCCTGGTTGAGGGATGACGAATGGGGGATTAGGGCCAATGAGTGTATGCAGCAGCTACTCTCCGACAGCCCTCATCCCTTTGTCCTGGTGATTTCCTTAGCACCAAGTTGTCGCGTCCACCCTCGACCAGCAAGGAAAATGCAACACCCGGACCTCTTCTTGCAGCAGTTTTCAGGACTTTATTCACAGCAATCTTTCTCCTTCTCCTTCTCTCTTTCCCTCTCTCTCCGGGCAAACCTCTCCCAGCCCTTAAGTAGGCATGGGCTGCCAACCCCGAACTGCCAGGTGGGCACTGCCCATAGGTTCACGCATATGCAGGCAGCTGATAATCATTGCGTGATCATAGCATAGGTCAGGCCTTAGCCATCTCAGGAGTTGATTATACATCTCCATCAGGTGTGACACCACGCAGCTCGCTACACCAAGTGCCTTCTCATTTCCAGTTTCTAGAGGATTATCTCAGCACAGGGCCCTGTTTCAAAGAAGCACACAGTCTGCTAGGGGAACAAGCAGATTAGCAATTACAACGTGGTACAAGGACTTAGTGGAGGTATGCATAGGCCATTGTAGAATACAGGAAGACTTCCAGTGTATAGGAGGCTTGTCTTTCGGGGCTTAGGGAGGGTTCTTTTTGGATGGAATTTATTGGATATGCTCTTAACCTCTTCAAGCAAAGTCATCCTGGTCTTTACAAGGGGTGTGGTAAGACTGACCTGGCTAGAAAACTCTTAACTAAAGAGGTCAGTGCCAGGAAAAGGAAGGCAGTTGACAAAAATAACATGAAGGGCGTTGATGGCAGCCTGGCCGCTTTGGAAGTACAGGAGCTGAAGTGAATGCTGGCTGGGCTATGGGATGGGAACCAAGGTCTGTACTCCTGAACTCGAAGCCAGCTAGCAGCACTGGAGTGTGAGGTGCCCCCTTGTGTTAGTTGTACAGTGGAATTAATTCCTCTGTGTTCATATATCTGGAATTCGAGTGCTCCTAGAAGTCAGTGGCCTGTTACTTTTTTTTGGGGGGGGGGAGGGGATCTGGGCACATATGCAGATACCCACAGAGGCTAGAGATGTCAGACTTTGCAAGAGCAGCACGCACTCACCACCCACTGAGCCATCTCTCCGATTCCCTGTTTGGTTTTGACTTCTCCCCTTAGAGCTACATACCAGTGGTGTGACTTAGAGTGAGCACCGTCTGATGTGATGATGCATAGCATGTTGAAGTGCGATAGACTGCTACCTTGTTAGCTAATAAAATGTGAGGACATGCATGAGAGGAGGGGATCTTGGGCAGTTCTTGAATTTCTGGCTAAAGTGTGTTGATCCACTCAACAAAATGTGGAAGAGAAAGACGTGGGGTATTCACCAGAGACCACTTGGATGTGGGTTTAAGCCAATATAAAGTCTTATTAGCCCGCTGGTGACTACACTGGCTATTCAGGGATCCCAATGTACCCTCAAGCCTTTCTCTGGGTGACCTTTCAAGTACAAAATCCATGTCCTGGGTTGACATCAGTTAACAAGCATAGTCAGCCAGAAGCAGAGCTACAGAAGCCAAAATGGAAGGTTAGTTCATTTAGAGACTTTCCCAGAACTGTGGACTTTGATGGATTAGGTCTTTGTTTTCATCTTGGCAGATGGTGCTATCTACATGTTTTACAGCCTGAATGATACTTCCATCATGGAGTCAGTTGTGCTAACATCTGGGACCCTGTTACAGACATTCTGATATTTTCTAGCATAAATAGTGATCTGTATTTGCTTCAAAAATCTACCTTGCTGACTCTGCCCAGGCTCACTGGGTGTAGCCACTGACTGAGCGCCTCTCCACCCCAGGGGTCTGGAAGGAGGCCTTACTTGTGTATTTACCTTCTCAAGACTTGTTCCCCAAACATGGATGATACTAGCCATTCCTGGGCGATGGTGGTGCACGCCTTTAATCCCAGCACTCGGGAGGCAGAGGCAGGTGGATCTCTGTGAGTTCGAGACCAGCCTGGTCTACAGAGCTAGTTCCAGGACAGGCTCCAAAGCCACAGAGAAACCCTGTCTCGAAAAAAAAAAAAAAAAAAAAAAAAAGATACTAGCCATAGATGAAGAGATGATGCTGTCTAGGGAACTTTAGTTCTATCAGATGTTCCCTTTATCTGATTTAATCTTCTTGTGGCCCAACACCCAGGAGGTCTGAGCAGGACCATTTCCAGTTCAGAACGTGGCTCCTGGCTATTCAGATAGCAGTGATAAGATCAGGGTTGAGCAAAGCTGTTTGCTTTGAGTCCAGTCATAACCACAGTCATAGCCACCTAGGTCACGTTTACCCCAGCAGTGTTCTAGAGCTCTACAGAGGTGACAAACACAAGGAGTTTGGCCAATGTGGGATGCATACATGTCTCTAGTACACACCTTTACTCTCAGAGCCTAGAAGGCTGAGGCAGGGGTCTGGATGGCAGTTTCAGACTAGTTTGCACAGCAACAAGGGAACATCTGTTTTGAAGAAGTGAAAAAAAGGTGTATGGGGAACTGGGGAGATAGGTAATAAAATACTTGTTGCATAAACAGGACCTGAGTTTGATCCTCAGCATCCACATTAAAAAATCTGGGCATGGGGGATGGAGTGATGGCTTGGTAGTTAAGAGTACTGGCTGCTCTTCCAGAGGACCCAGGTTCAATTCCCAGCACCCACATGGCAGCTCACACCTGTCTGTAGCTCCAGTTCCAGGGGATCTGACACCCTCTCATGCAGGCAAAACACCAGTGCACATAAAATTGAATTTAAAAAATCTGGGCACGGTCGCACAGGCTTGTAACCTCAGTGCTGGCAGGATGGAGTTCACTGACGAGCCTAGCCTAGTTGGTGGATCTCAGCCACCCCGCCCCCAAGAAAAAACCCAACAAGGTGGACAGCCTTTCTGAGAATGTGTACATCCACTCAGCCTCCAAAGTCAAATAAAAGCACGATGAAAGTGTGAACAATGTGGGAAGCGCTCACTCAGTGTTCAGTGTTTGGCACGTAGAGGAGGTTAGCCATGGCCAGAGGAGTAATTTCCCCAACATTATACTATGCATAAACAACTGAACCCATGTCTCTGGCATTCACCATGTGTGCCGAAGGTAAGTTTGTTTCGTAAGGAGCTGGCGCTTAAAGTGCCTGCCTGGAGAAACTGGACTTGGATGGTTGTAAAGATTTGATTCAGTGGGGTCACTCACTACTTGAAAGTGTGTCAGAACCTATCCAGGTAGAAATCAGCTGGGGGTACCCTGGGAAGGGGCACTGAGGCTGGGGCTCCCACTAAAGTGCTTGTCCGCATCTAGATTTGGAATATTGTCTTATCCTGATCTCTTCTACTTTACTTTTTCTGAATCCAAACTTGCTCTGGGGCCAGGTTCTTGGCACTTTCTCCCCCTGCATGCTCTAACCCATTCCCATGCCTTAAGCTGCCAGCTCACATGTTCCAGGCTCTGATCTGTGTTCTGTTCATGCACATTTGTCCTGCTGCTATACTTGTCCTCTCTACTTGACTCAGTCATTACAAACTTAATGTGTCCACAGGAACTCTGTTTACCCCGAAGCCTTTCACATTCTCGGCATTCCCACGGTCACCTATCTCACGTTATTTAGTTCACAAAAGTTACGCTATCCTTTATTCCATTTGCTCCCCGCATGCCAATGAGCTCTGCTTTTAAAATACATCCCCACATCAGACCCCCTTTTCCCTTGGTCCAAGCCACCTACATGTCTAGCCTAAGGCAGTAGTTTCCTGGTGGGTCTCCTTGCTTCCTTCCCCACCCTGAGTGTTTCCACAGAGACCACCAGCAGCATCCTTTATTGCTAGCAGTATCCCAACATCTGTTTCAAAACATCCCCAGGCTCCGTGTGACCCTCCACAGAGCCGCAGAGGGCAGTGGTGTTGACTGCACTTGTGGCACGATCTTGCCAGCCCTCCACCCGCCCAATTCCGACTCCTGCCTGTTTTTAGAGACACCCAGGTCTGACTTTAGTGTCAGATTCTTTTCTGGTCTCAGCTCTGCAAGTTCTTATTCTAATGTTAGGTGCTAGGGATTAAGTCTAGGGCCTTCGAACACACTGAGCAAGCGCTTATAATAAGCCTACAATCCCCAACCCAGGTGGGGTTGGGTGGAGCCGACAGTAAATGAACTTGTTGATCGACCATTTCCTTGACTGGCAGGGCTAGTCTAAGACCCAGGGAGATACCATGGATGTGCTCCAGCCCAGTGTCTGATGGCCTCTGGGCTCAGTTAGGTCCTCTCTTCCTTGCTGATTGTTGTGTCACATGGCCTCTTAGCCCCACCCTTTCTATTGCATATTCTCTGGGCTCTGGATCCTCCTGCTGGTGTACTTTATCCTTAGTGTGGAGTGGATGTGGGACAGGTAAGGGTGGACCCTACTTAGAACGTCGTCCAACATTGTTTCTTTCCAAGGCTGAGTGTCTCACACCTGTAATCTCAGTACTCGGGAGGCTGCGGCAGGAGGATCACATGAGTACAAGGCTAGCCTCAGCTATGCAGTTTCAGGTTAATCTTGTCTACGGTGTGAGACAGTGTCTTAAAACAAAAACAAAAAATGAAGGCTTGTGTCCTTGTTCAGGGCCTTCCTCACACGCTTAGGGTTCCTCTCACACTGGCTGCCTCCCCATTCCCGGACATAGCTTCCATCTTACTGCCTCCTTTCTTTATAGTGACTACCAGAACCACCTTTCTGAAAGAACCTGACCTAAAAACATTGTCTTCATTCTTGGGCCCCAGTTCCTCAGGTCCTCATCCCTCTTAGAAATGTTATTACATGTCTACACCGCCTCATAGGTACAAAGAACCAACCAGTCCTATGAAAGGCCATACCTGCTCGGAGCTGACACCCATGGGGCTCTTCATAATGTAGATCCCAGCCTGCTTTTTATAGTCCTTCAACTCACTCCCAGCCCACCTCCAATCCCAGGCACTCAACCAACCGGCGGGGTCTCTGCACTAAGCAGAAGCCCTCAGTGAATGATGGTTTTATCCAGCGGATCCAGAAAGCAGACCCCTCCCCCTGAGAGTCCGCCATGCCCCGCCCCTAGCGGCCCACTGCAAGATCTGTAAATTGAGGCGCTGGTGCCTCTGCCCTAAGACTCCTCAGCCCCTCCCTTGACCTCGGGATTGTGAGCTAAGAGCCAGGCCTAAGAGACTGGACCCACATCCACGCACCCTTGCCTGGGCTGGACCCCTCCACCTCGACAGCTGCAGGAAAGAGTGCTGTGGGGCTCCAGCCCCACCTAGGAATGTCTGGTCCCCAGGTGAGCTTTCCCGACTGACATGGAGCTGGTTGGGCAATAAAGAGGTACTGGGACATCAAGCCAGCCAACCCCTCGTCATCCCACAGAATTAGGTTTAATGGGGTTACCCGGACAACCCGCACACGGGGAAGCTGGCGAGGGAGCAGTGTTGTGTCCTGTTCTCAAGCAGGCAGGGTTCTACAGGAGATGGCCTCTGGCCTCCAGGGAAGGGGTGGCAGTGTGCGTGATGAAGAAGGACAAGAGACACCACTGCTGGAAAATATACCTTCATCCTCACCGGCCACTCATGGTGCCTGGTGAGGGAACCCTTCTCCTCACTCATTCCTCTTTCTAGAAACCCACAGTCATGTGAACTTTGCGACTTCGGCCCTGCGGTTTGACCTTCAGTTTCCGTTCCTCAATTTCTTACCAATCCTCCTTCTATTTCCTTCCCAGACATCACAGGGCTGGCCCACAGCCACCTCCGGGAGGGCGTCAGCTTAGACCTCACCAACTTGATCTTCAGTCACCTGGCTTTGGGGAGCCAGGACCTTACTGTATTTTTAATTCTCTTTGGCAATAAACCCTCCCCCATCCTTAGAGACCCTGATAAATGTCACCACGTTGTTGATATCCTCCCTTGGCCTTGCCTCAAACTTGGTCTTTGCTTCCTGGTGTACCCAGGGCAACTGAAACACGCCCTACTTACACGTAACATGTCTCTTCAAGCTCCTAGTACATGGAGACTGTGTCTTCCAAGGGCAGCACACAGGTCTTGTTCTATTTACCAAAAAGACAAAGTCTAGCCTAGAGAGGCATTGGAAAGAATAAGTGAACAATAAGGATTGAGCTGAAGGGGATGTGTGGGGGGATCTTCATAAAAAAATGGCTTCTCGGAGGCCTCAACGAAGAGGGCTAGATTCTGGGTACATTAGATCCATGCAGCTACAGGACCTAAGTGGTGTATTGTATTAACTAACATTGAGCTCTTTTATTGTTAGGTCTCATGCTTGGCACAGGGGACCCTAGTCTGCACTCAAGTTGTGTCCCCTCTAGGAAAAAAGGAAGACAAGGTAGGCGAAGCCAGTACAGAATGCCAGGTGTTGCACCCGGTGAGCACAAGAAATCTTCCAAGATAAGCATTTATAGGCTCTGTGGGCTGTTAGGAGGCTCCTCAAAGAGGACCAACCCAAGACCTAAGAATGGACCCCAGAGAAGGGTTTCAGCCGGGCTGGACAGGGGAAGCTGGAGAGCTAAGCAGGGCTGGGCTCCAGAGAGATTCGAGAACCTGGCATATGACTGAATCTGCTTGGGGCAGATTCTACCTCTCCTCTGAAAGCCTCCCCAAGGCAGGCCAGTTCCTTTCGGTGCTCACGTGGTCCTGTCTCTTCTTCCATGCTGGGTTGCATCCTCTGCTTGACTATTCCTTGAGAGATCAGTTCACAGGCATCTCTGTGTCCGCAGCACCAAGCATCAGATTTGCTCCTAAACACGTATCCTGCTGTAGGAGTGAGTAGATTACTCTCTATTTCTGGGGACTTAAACTGCCCTTCTTCTCAAATCCCCATCCTTTTGCTCCTGGGACCTGTGTATAGTTTTTTTTCTTTTTCTTTTTGGTTTTTCGAGACAGGGTTTCTCCGTATCTTTTGGTTCCTGTCCTGGAACTAGCTCTTGTAGACCAGGCTGGCCTTGAACTCACAGAGTTCCGCCTGCCTCTGCCTCCTGAGTGCTGGGATTAAAGGCGTGTGCCACCACCGCCCGCCCTAGTTTCTTTCTTTTTTTTTTTTTTAAGATTTATTTATTTATTAAGTATACAGTGTTCTGCCTGTATGCATGCCTGCAGGCCAGAAGAGAGCACCAGATCTCATTACAGATGGTTGTGAGCCTCTATGTGGTTGCTGGGAAATGAACTCAGGACCTTTAGAAGAGCAGGCAGTGCTCTTAACCACTGAGCCATCTCTCCAGCCCCACCTGTGTATAGTTTTTACAAATCACATTTAACCAAGAAAGGGGAGACTCAGTTCAAGTCCTGGCTCCACCTTTTCTGAGACAAGCCCTTTCCTATTTGGAAGGCTTACTTTCCCATCTGTAAAATTGTATGCTTGTGTCTCATTTCTCTAGACCAGTGGTTCTCCACTGCCTAAAGCTGCGACCCATTAATATAATTCCTCATGTTGTGGCGACCCCAACTATAAAATTATTTTTGTTGTTACTTCATACTGTGATTTTGCTATTATGAATCATAAATATCTGATATGCGACCCCTGTGAAAGGGTTATTTAACCCCCTAGAAGGGTCACGATCCACAGATTGAGAACCACTGCTTTAGACAGACAGACTGACTGATTGTTCTTTGAAGGCAGCGGCCCAGAGGTTCTCTTAGCTTAGACTAAGCACAGAGCCTGAGAAACACTCCTGTTTGCTGACAGATGGCAGAGTACAGAGAACACTCAAGGCAGAACTGAGCCCCATCCTGTAACTTCCAAGTGACCACTCCCACGGCTTTCCCCTCTCTGTTGTGTTTGCCTTCCTTGGGATATATAAGCAGGGATGACAGCCCTTGCCAGACTGAGCCCACAGGACCAAAGGGGATCCCAGGTGTCCAATGCTCTGTGGACGGGGTAGACGGTACAGCAGGTGACTGATCATTAATTACGGCTAAAACATCTGTGAATTAGCACAAATGAGGCAGTGTCTGTTGGAAAACTGGCCATCTGCTCACCTGCCCTGAGCGGCAGAGACAGAGTTGCTGTTCTTCAAGACGATGGTAGGTGGACTGGCAGGTGACCAGGGCCTGGCCCAGGCACTGAGTATCCAGTCCTGCAGGGCTTGGCTGCCTCGAAACAGGAGAGATGGCTGTGGAGATTGATGGAGTGGGGTGGTGCAGCCAAAATCTTTTCCCCTTCACTCCCAGCTTTCCCAGTCTTACATCATTTCCTATCTTAGGTGTTAATCCCGATGGCTTTGGTCACACAGTTGTTGATTCTTTGGGTGACTGAGGCTGCCTATGGGAACAACAAGTCCTTCAGTGATGCCTTAGGATATTCCAGTCCCAGACCCAAGTCCAGCCCCTTGGAGCACTGGACATCTTGGTGGCCGGTTTTTTTCTTCTTTTTTTTAAAGATCATAGTTTGTCTCAATCCCTTTTTTATATTTATTTATTTATTTATTTATTTATTTATTTATTTATTTATTTATTGAGACAGGACTTACTATGTAGCTTTGTCCTGGATATTCATGATGTAGACCAGGCTGGCCTTGAACTCACAGATCCACTTGCCTCTGCCTTCCAGATGCTAGGATTAAAGATGTGTGCAGCCACATCTGGTCTTGTCTCAATTCTTGCTCAGCCCTTAAGGGCTGGGAACTGTCCAGAGGACCTGTTTGGAGGCCAAGCCTGAGCCTCGAAATGAGTGAAGGATTTAAGAGAAAATGAATGCGAGAAGGAGAATTGCTCCTACGTCTCAAGGGTAGGGCTACTCTGTGTGACCGATGTGTTTATCCCAATAGTGGGGCTTGTCTGTCTCAGAGAGGACACAGACGGTTGATGTGTAAGGAGCACCTTTGTTTGGGCATAGTGTAAAAACAAAGTCAAGACTGTGAAGATGGACGCCCAGCTGGCTCCCTGCTGCTGTGCGAGATGCCATGGTGGTCAAAGGCCTGGCCTGTGCTGGCATGCATCCCAGTGACCTCCTCAGGTCTAGCCCCCAAACCACCTCCTGCTGCGGCCAGAAACGGCAGCAGATGAGGATCAAGCAGCGGGGTTTGCTTCTACTAACTTACTGTGGGACATTGAGCAGATGTTGCCAATTTGCTGAACTTGAGGTTCTTCATTCATAGAATAGGGGAAGAAAGAGTATACCCTTTAAATTAGCCCAGACCAGAGGACAGAACAGTGGAAGGTGCTGGGGAGCCACTGAATGCTGTCACATCCATTCTGTGGAGTTGATTTCCTTCTCTGTTGGAGATGGGACCGGTGTTGTGGTGTGCTCTGAGGTCTCTGAGGCTCGGAGTGGCATAGCCTCTCTTAGTCAGCCATTAATCTATGACGAGCCCTATCTCTCAGATGGAGGCCTTTGAGGCGTCAAAAGGCTCCTGGGAGGATGTCTGTGCCATGGGACCAGGACAAGGGAGGATGGGATGACCATGCGCTACTGCTGAGCTTATCTCTGGTGTCTCCTTGCTAACTTGTATTCTCAATCAGTGAGATAGGATGTGGAGAGGCAGTTCTGGGATGGGGTCTCTGAGAGCTCTCTCCAGACCCCTTGACCTTGGGAACCCTGTGCACCTCTCTCCTGGGCCACAGGTCAGCAGATCTTGAGCCATGAGCAGACCATTCCTCAGGTGGAGGAACTTTCCTGGAAGGATGTTATTAACGCCTTGTCCCTGGCCAACATGGTCCTGGGGCTCTTCTCCATCTTCTGCAGCTTCAGCGGGTAGGTCTGGGGCACAGCCCGCGCTTAGCCTGAAGAAGGGGGGGCAGACTCGAAAGACCTAGCCCCTGCGGCTGAAAGATCTACTTGGGGATGGGGATACTACACTAGTTTCAAAGCCAGGATCATGGCCTTCATGTTGCTACCTTTCTGGTAAGCGACTTCATCTCGGTTCATCTCTGAGCTGCGGTCTCCTTTTGTACCATGAAGAGTTTGTGTTATAATCAATCTTCCTTGTTCCTTCAAGCTATGGCAGTTCGGAGTGGCTGTAGGAGAAAAAAAAAAAAAGATGCATAGTAGTATTCATAGGCCCTTCCCCAACCTCTTTCCTCTCCCTGATTGAGCCCAGGATGGTCTTGAACTCACTACATGGCTTAGGATGGCCTTGAACTTCGGATCCTTCTGCCTCCACCTCCCACCTCTGGGACTGTCACCTCACTTGGCTTCACTCATAGTTTCTGGCTCTTGAATGAGAACATACGACTTGAATACCCAATGTTAGCACTCTTCTGGAGATTGTCCTACTTAAGGTGCCACCAAGAAAGCAGGAGCAGTTTATGTTCTTGTAAGTTGGGTTCTATTTCGAGGCCTTTGGCAGCTCAGTTCTTTTTTTTTTTAAAATATTTATTTATTTATTTATTATGTATGCAGTGTTCTGGCATGTACTGTAAGCTACCATGTGGTTGCTGGGAATTGAACTCAGGACCCCTGGAAGAGCAGCCAGTGCTCTTAACCTCTGAGCCATCTCTCCAGCACCGGCAGCTCAGTTCTTTAAAGGAAACTTTCAGATGCACTCCTGGTGTGCCTGATTCTCCAGGACCAGCATGTGGCTTCTTTCTGTATCTGTTTTTCATCCATGAACTTGGAGTCTAATAAACGGAGAATGCACATCTGTGGTAGGAAAATCTCAGTTTAGCCAAATCCACTGAGAGGGTAATTTTGTGTTATGATTGTAGGTTCTGTTATTTTCATTTAGCCTCAGGTCCCTTTAGAACTCAGTTGTAGTCTAAACAAATGTTGAAGTTGTTTGGGGATGGCTGAGGTCAGAGGTCAGGCTCTCTGCTTCTGCTGGGTCACCTAAGCATCGTAATCAGGGGCAGGGTTGGCAGTAGACCTCCATGGGCAGGTTCCCTTTGGACTGTGTGGCCGCTCACAAAGGGACCATATGGGAGCATCTCATGATGGATGAGGTGCAATGAGGAATGTGAGAGGATGTGGGAGACACTGATGGATCCTTGCCACACACGCATCAAACCCAGGAGATCTTGGCAGACACTGGCAGATCCATACTACAGGTGGAAATGTCAACACCTATCGCTCATCCACGGAAAACCAGCAAGCATATTCATCTTGGCCACACCTTCCGGTGTCTGGCTGTGGCTGACAGCTGCAGACACTTTGTCCAAGAACAACAGAATGCATAGAATTCTTAGGCTCTCTTAGAGGGTCTGTCTGCATTCTAGCCATATAAAAGACTAGAAGTCATAAAGAAGGTGATCTCAGGCCAAATGGAATTAATTTAAAGCTCAGAAATGGAAAGAATACGCAAACCCTGACCAGGAATAGCTCATGGAAAAGCGCTTGCCTGGAATGTGTGAGGCCCGAGCTCCAGTCTCCAGTACTGAAGAAGAAAAAACAAAAAGTACCAGATGGTTAACATTGTAGGACGGTCAGAATTTAGTTAGATATGGTGGCATAAAATTGTAATCCCTGAACTTGAGAGGTGGAGGCAGGAGGATCCAAAGTTTGGGGGAGATCTCTCAGGCAATGAAGTGCTTGTGGCCCGAGCATGAGGGCCTGCATTCAGTTCTGAGCAGCCATGGAAGAAAGCTGAGCACAGTGCTGTGCCCTCAGGATCCCAGTGCTGGAGAGGCAGAGATTCTGTGGGGCTCACTGGCCATCCAGCCTTGCCCCACCGAGCCCCAGGTCTCACTGAGAAACCCTTCAGGGTCAGAGGCTCCTGAAGAACAGGTGTTTCAGTTACCTTCTCTGTTGCTGTCGCAAAACACCATGACAGGCAACTTAGGAAAGACAGCGTTTAGCTGGGTTTAGTCCATGGTGGCAGAGCAAAGGCAGGCGGCAGCAGAAGCAGCTGAGGGTGCGTGTCTTGATCTGAAAGCCGGAGGCAGAGAGAGAGAGAGTGACACTGAGAATGGCAGGAGTCTTTTGAAACCTCAAAGTCTGTCCCTGTGACACGGCTTCTTCAACAAGGCCACACCTAATCCTTTCCAAACACTTCCACCGACTGGGGACCAAGTATTGGAATGTGTGAGCTATGGGGGCCATTCTCATTCAAACCACCACAGAATGAAAGAAAGGAAAGGAGAGGAGGGGAGAAGAGAAGAGAGGAGAGGACATAGCACAAATCCTTCATTTCATGAGTGGAGAAAGAGACACAGACAAGCAGTAATTTATCTGAAGAGCCCCAGGGGGATAGTGGTAGAGGCTGCACTAGGAACAAGGAAGGGGCCTGTGCTGTCACATACATTGAGGCTTAAGAACTGGAAGGAGCTGGGCGGTGGTGGTGCACGTCTTTAATCCCAGCACTCAGGAGGCAGAGGCAGGTGGATCACTGGATTTGAGGCTAAACTAAACTGGTCTACAGAGCGAGTTCCAGGACAGCCAGAGCTACACAGAGAAACCCTGTCTTGAGACACCCTCCCCCACTAAGAAAGAAGAGTTGGAAGGGACTTTGGTGATTACTGGAGGGTTTGGGAGTGTCAGGGAACCTCTTTAAACTATTGGTTGGGGCTGAAAAGATGGCTCAGTGGTTAAGAGCACTGGCTGCTTTTCTAGAGGACCTGGGTTTGCTTATCCACACCCACATGGTGTGGTTTACAGTCGTTTGTAACTCCAGTCCCATGAGATCCCACATCTTCTGATCTTCCCTGGCAGTGTATTGAATGTGGTGTCCAGATGCATATGCAGGCAAAACAGCTCAGACACATAACACTTAAAGAATTATAAAGAGACTATGTATTGGGGGAGTTTGGGAGGGATAGAGCCATCTACGAGGGGGTGAGTAAAACACTCAGAGCAGTGTATGCCGGAAGGGATGTGAGTGAGCAAAGCGTAGGCATTGAGTGTGCGCAGCGTAGGCATTGAGTGTGCACTTGTCCAGTGGGGACTAAGAGAAGCTGCCCTGCTGGCCTGCACTCTAGGAAATCCCTCTGTGCTTCCTGGATGCTTTTGATCAGCTTCCTGTTAGACATGGCAGTAGGGACGATGATCAGGCACCTCCACATCTGCCACAAATTAGGTGAGTTCAACCTTGGGGCCCTCTAATCCCTACCCTGGGGGAGCATCCATCTCAGGCTACTACCGTCCATCCCTCTGACACCAGGCAGACCTTCCTCAGTCACCCCCAATTGTTCACATGCCAATAGAGGAAGCCATCCTGCCCCAGAAGTGAGGCTGTCTGCAGCCTGGACACATCTCCTGGGCTGGACCCATCTCCTGGGCTGGACCCAACTCCTGCAGCCTGGACCCATCTTCTGGGCTGGACCTATCTCCTGGGCTGGACCCATCTCCTGGGCTGGCTGGCTTCCCCATCTTAGCCCCGCCCTCACCTCTCTGCTCCAATCCCATTTCCTCTTCTTTTGGGTTATGCGATTTTGCTAAGGATTCTGGTCTTGTTTATACTCTGTAGTACATTATTATGGCTATTGTGAGTTTTATGAGGTAAGATTTCACTTGGAGTTAATCAAGCATTTTCTTTGCTGTTGATCCTTTCCTGCCTTCCAAGTGTTCCCTGGGGTCACCTTCATTCTTAGTGAGGAAGATGCGCTGTAGATTTATTAGTGAAGTGAAGGGGATAATGAGGGTCAGTGAGAGGATGAGAGACATCCCCAGGCAAAGCAGCTGGTTCAAAATACTTCGAGATGTTTCCACATAAGGTTTTTCCTGAAAAAGGTCCTGAGGCTTGTGAACTTGGGTGCTAAGCCTTGCATATTGAGTGGCAAGGACCAGCAGAGAGAGAGCTGGGAGTGGGGGGAGGACCCAGGCTTTGATCTACAGACCATCTTTAGGGAGCAGCTGCTGCCCTCTGAGACCCCAGCATCCCAGCTGTCCCTGCTCCAGCCATCCAAGAGAGGCTGGGGTGTAGACTGCATGCTTGTGAGTGAACCTTGACCTCTGAAGCAGGACTCGAACTGAACGACTTCGCTGTCTTCACCACCTTTGGCCTGGCCTCGGCTCTGCTCCTTGGTGTGGATGGGCCTCTGAATGGGTTTCTGGCCGTCATCTATGTGTTAACCACTTCCTTCCGCCTGTGTTTTTACTCAACTGGTGAGTGGAACCCAGTCTATCTCAGGACTGTGATAGGGATTCAAGGGGCAGGAGAAACTGCTGGGAGCCAGAAGCTAGGGGACACTCATGGACTCCTCCTCCTCCTCATGAGTCCCACGCCTGCTGGAGGTTGAGGGCTGTATTGGCAGAGCCCTGGTCTGGGAGAAACAAGTCCTTGCTTCTTCAGGAGTTATGTCTCTTTTCTGTACTATATCTGTATAGTAGACACACTCCAGAAATGGAGTTCTAGAGAACTCCAGTTCCCCCAAACAAAAGAAGCTGTGGTAGTGAGGACAGCTCGAAAGACCACACAGAAAGGGGGTGCAAACCCAGCAGTGAGCTCAGCCTCGCCTTCCAAGGACCTGTTAAGGTGTGGGCACACCGGGTCTATGCTGATTGCCTGCTGTCCCCCAGAAACCAACCCAAACCTGTGCAGCATCAGCTTGTAATAACCAAATGACCTACATACTCCTCCCCACCCCTGGGCTAAGGGCATCTGGTAGCTCAGGGAGAGGAGACCCAAATTGATAGATGCCCTTGGAGCCAGGAAACAGCTCATTCTATGATCTCTCCCTAGAAGGAGGACCCTCTGCATACAAAGGTCTACCTTGTCCCTATGCTTCCTGTGTTTTGGCCTCCACCTGCCTACTGACCAAGGGCAACACCTTTATTCTCTGCTGCATGGCTTCACTCATGATTCTGTTCATGATCGACCAGAGTTGCTACCCACATGATGAAATCCTGGAGTCCGAGAACTGGAAAAAAGTGGTTTATATGGGAGGTGAGTTCAAATCACTGCCACAGTGTTTACGGTCACACTGTCTCTCCCAGCGGCAGTGTCCATGTGCTTCGTCCTCACGTATCCTTCGCCGTCAGCTTTGTTGTTAACCAACATAGGGCACACTTTAAATGCCTGAAAATACTAAATGCGCTCACACCCACGGAAGTTTTCTTTGTGCTCTGATTTCCAGTGCCCAATACATATCTACTTCATGTTAATGAGATCAGTAGAATTTAGGAGTGCATGCTTATGTGCCAGGTACAGGGGTCACTCTGGCGAACTAGACATAGTCCCTGCCTGAGACAGCCAAGAAAGTTACTGAAAAGCAAAACAAACTAGTGAATAAAAATGGTGAAAACAATTGGGAACAAACAAAGCTGGGAGTTCTTGGGAGGCTGAGGCTGGAGGATCATTGCAAGTTCAAGATATAGTGAGTCCCTGAGCTATAGAGTGAAATTCTGTCTGAAACAATAAAGTAACTACAAGCAGTTTTGATGCTCTGGGAAAGCACAGGGTGACTCGCTGGTCATCCTCTGGGATGGCATGAGAGGAGGAAATGCTCTTCAGGGAGGAGGTTTAAGCGAGATTGGAGAGATGAGCTCAGGGAAGAGCAGGAAGAGTGGTTCAGGCAGAGGCTGCTGTCCTGTGATGATGGGAGGCCGAGAAGGTGCTGGAAGGGAGCAGTGTGGCTGAACTTGTGTGGAAAGCCAGTAACAAAAACTTAGGCCAGTGAAGTGGGCAGACTGGGCAGGATTAGGGATTTGATCTTAAAGGCAAATAAGATGCCTTGGGTGGGATCCAGGCAGCAAGTGATATATAATGAGGGCAGCCGCTTCCAGGCGTCACTGGACTAACAGAACAGACAAGGGAGCACCAGGGGGAGGTTTTCAGAAGTGGTGATGTCAAGGCTGAAGAGAGGTGACTGGACTTGAAATAAGTATTGGAACGAGAGCTGACATTGAAGGAGGAAGTTCATGTAGGATGCTCACAATTTGTCCCGAGTTAGGGCTTCCTTTAAGGTGTGCAAGCCAACAAGAAAAGCATCTCTGGGGGCTTGAGTTTCTCCCATTATCCCTTTGCTGTTAATGCACTCTGGGTCGTACAAGCATGTTTCCTTCAGGTTCATATCTTATGTGGCATTAGTACAGTCTCCTTGACCAAGTTCTGGGTGCTGACTCTCCTGTGCCCTAGGTGGCAGAGGCAGAATGGTGAGGAGAATCTGGGTTTGTAGCTAAACGTGCCTCAGCTGAACCTCTGACTCCCGCATATGGGTGTATAAACTTGGACTAGCACCTCACCATCTTGAACTCAGTTCCAAGTTCCTGAAGCTTACAGGCTCCCGGCAACTGAATGAGGCAATGAGGTAGTCCTGTGAGGGTCCTGGACTGGAAATGGCAATTGCTGGCTCCATCTTTTCTACCTCCCCTCTCCCAGCTCATAGCAAGTGTTTTCCTCAGAGGTCATTGTTCCTGGAGTTGATCCCCATTGCTCAAAATAAACCACACACTTAGCGTGAGACTCCTGGGTGGCTTTGTTGTATGAGTTAAGGAGGAAATGGCATCTCATAGATTCTGACACCTGTTAATGCCAGTATTGTGCACATTTCAGAGTGGACGCTGTAGATACTCTGCTTGCCTGGAGACAGCCGGTCACCTTAGACTGAGGACCCCTCTTCCCTACAGAACTTCAAGGAGCTGACCCGTGGCTAGCTTTGGGGAGATAATGTCATCTATTTTTAGGACAATTCCGATTTTAAACCTTGCCTCCTTTTCTTGGCAGATCCATGATTGGTCTCTATACTATACTATACTATACTATACTATACTATACTATACTATACTATACTATACTATACTATACTATACTATGCTGAAACTCTAGCACATTAACTGATTCTTTCCCCTGGAAGTAACCTTTTGTTAGGTCACCTGTTACGATCTAACAGGTTCTCACAGAATACATGTTGGTCAGGTTGGGCATAGTCCAGTTGGCAGAGTACTTGCTTGGCTTGCTCGGATCCCTGAGGTTTGATCTCTGGTACTGCACTGCCTGTGGTGGTGTGCACCTGTAATCTCAGCACTGTGGAGCTGAAGGCAGAAGGACCAGAAGTTCAAGTCATCCCCAGCTACAGAGCAAGTTTGAGGACAGCCTGGGCTACATGAGAGCTGGCCATAAGACTATTGTTGCCCCATATTCTTGTTAACTGAGGGTTAAAATGTCTAGTTTTTAAAGGTCAGGCCTTGAATCAGGCCCCTGTGTAGGTTATTTCCTCCTGATCTCTTATGAGGAAATAGAGGTAATTTTAAGTCATGGGAGCATTATGAAGTCTAAGTGAAGCAATTGGTAGCACCTGGCAGAGTATCCAGTACTGAGTAGATGCGCCCCTAATTTTGGAGTCCTTGTGCCTGATGTGTTTCATGTGAAATTTCATTGTCTTGGGAGTTCCTGAGACTAGGTCTAGGTCCAGTGATTTGTTAGGAGGACTGGGCATGCTGCTGTGCTCATAGCTAAGACCTAACCAGAACACAAGGAGGTGGGCCGGGAGGTTACACCTGACTTCCATCCCTGCACTCAGGAGGCAGAGGTAGCTGGAGCTCTCGAGTTCTAGGTTAGCCTGGTCTACAGAGCCAGTTCCAGGACAGCTGGGCTATAACAGAGAAACTAAAACAAAAACAAAAATAAAGGATGTGACTCAAAATCACGAGAGGGAAAAGGTGTGTGGGAAGTGACCACATATGACAGCCACACTCTACTTCCCAGGCCTTGAACTGTGGTCATGCACATGAAGCATTGTCTTGCAGGGAAGGTCACCAGAGACTCACACAGGTACCCACTGCCTTAGCAGGTACCGAATGCCAGACTCGAGAAGGGAAGTGGCTGTTGAGCACAGACTACTTGCACAGCCTGGGCAGAGCGAGTCACTCTGATTACTCAGTGCTATTGGTGTGAGCCTGAGGCCACTCCGTAAGCAGCCTCAAGCATGGAACATTGCATGTTAAACTTCAAACAACCAGGAAGATGTTTTCCCCCTGAAAAGGCTCTGGCCAACTTGAATTCAGTCTTGGCCGGAACTTGGCTTCTGGTCTGACCTCAAACAGAATGGACCCTGAGATTGCATTAGCTTCCAACTAGGGGCTTACATATCCTTACTAAACTGAACGTAAACACGGGGCTTTTGCTTCTCTTGCTGCAGTTTCCTCAGCTCTGGGAGAGGCCTGTGGGGGACCGGGGGTGGGGTAGGAGCCACGGGAGGCACGTCATGAAACTGAGGGTCTGCTTCTCTTTGCAGGTGTCGTCATGCTCCTTTTCTCCCCGTTCTCACTCACCGCCTTATACTGCTTGATCTGGTCGCTCTCCTACATCTTCTTCCCAGATGCCCTGTGGGGCACGGGGGTTTGTATTAAGCTCTAGCGAGGGGGAACCGTGACTTCACTACTCCTGCTGGCTCTGTGGGCTCTGCACTTAGCACACTGGACCAAGACCTGCCTCATCCTCACTAAAGCTTTCCTGGTGCCTGTATTGTTATCTGCTGTCTCTGGTCTTGAATCACAACAACCCACAGTGGGCCCAGAAGCCTTTGTTTCTCTCTCCTTATTCAGGGTTCAGGCCCCCTTTTGGGTAATACTTGAAACAGGTTTTTTTTGGTTTTGTTTTGTTTTTTTTGAAACAGGGTTTTTCTGTGTTGTGCAGACTGTCCTGGAACTCATTCTGTAGACCAGGCTGGCCTCAAACTCAAAGATCCACTTGCCTCAGCCTCTCAAGTGCTGGGATTAAAGGTGTGCACCATCACCGATGGCCTGGGTAATCCTTGTATCAGTCATGTAGGGTAGACTTTTGTTTCTAAGATAAGTTTGGGCTGGTTTGAGTTTCAGCTTAGGATCTGGAGTCCCAGGCCAGCCTCGGATACATGATACTCTATCTCAGAAAGTTGGCAGCCCAAATGTATCACCTGGTGTATTAAGGTTTTCTAGAGGAACAGAGAGGATAGAATGAATATCTATCTATCTATCTATCTATCTATCTATCTATCTATCTATCTATCTATCTATCTATCTATCTATAAATGGCATTTATTAGAGTGGCTAGCTGTGATCTAGCTGGTCCAAAAATGGCTGTCTACCAAGAGAAAGTCTAAGAATCCAGTAGTTGTTCAGTTTATGAGGCTGGATGTCTCAGCTTGTAGAAGGAGGCTCTAATGCCAGTGAAGTGATTTCATAGTGGGGGCAAGCAGGCAAAGAGAGCACGCTTCCTTCTCCCGTGTCCTTTTTTATATAGGCTGCCACCAGAAGTGTGGCACAGATTAAAGGTGGCTCTTCCCACCCCAAAAAAGTCCTGATTAAAAGTGGGTCTTCTGACTTTAAGTGACTGAGAAAATTCCCTCATGCCAGGTATTGTGGCACATGCTTCAATTCCAGCATTTGGGAGGCAGAGACAGGGGGATCTCTGTGAGTTCGAGGTCTGCCTGGTCTACATAGAGATAACATAGACTACATAGACAGCCAGGACTACATGGAGAGAACCTGTTTCAAAACGAGAAAAAAAGGAAAATCCCTCTAAAAACTAACTAAGCCTGCTTTGGTTTAGTTAGTTACAGATCTCGCTGACAACCAAGAATAGCCATCACACCTGGCTTCTAGTGAGCTTGTTCTGTGTGTATCTCTTCTAAGTTCTCAAACACTAAATTCTACTCAGATGGAACTTTGTCTTATTAAACTCAAATCAGACAGAAATCCTGCGTGCTCTTATATTGTATTCCAAAGCTGCCTCTTATGGAGAATAACCAGGAAGCCTAGCTTCACTCTGGATTGTTTTCAGGTGGGAGGGACATCCAGGGCTGGCTAATTCTGCCCCTTCCCACACGGTGGCGCCAGAGCTCTTCAACAACATGTCTGTCACTGAAGGGTTTTGTTTTTAATACTTTAATTATTTTATTTTATTGGTCTTTTGACTGTATGTATGTCTGTGTGAGGGGGTTGAATCCTGGAGTTACAGACAGTTATGAGCTGTCATGTGGGTGCTGGGAACTGAACTGGGGTCCTCTGGAAAAGCAGTCAGTGCTCTTAACGGCTGAACCATCTCTACAGCTCCCAGCACTGAAATTTTATGAGTAGTATCTATGAGCTGGGAGGTGGTGGTGCACACCTTTAATCCCAGCACTTGAGAGGCAGAGGCAGGTGGATCTCTGTGAGTTCGAGGTCAGTCCAGTCTACAGAGCGAGTTCTAGGACAGGCTCCAAGCTACACATAAAAATCCTCAAAAAGCCAAAAAAAAAAAAAAAAAAAAAAAACCAACCAAACAAAAAAGAGTAGTATATGTGGTAAATTTGCCTCAAATCTAATTAAATTAAAAATAAATACCAACTTGCAAATGAAATAAAAAAGGAAAATGCCAATATCATTACAACTCTATGGAAGCTGGCAGCATCGTCTCTCCCTGGCCTCTCTTTCCTGGTGTTTCATCTTTTATGTGGTCACTGTTAGATGAGTCTACTGTGTTCCTCTAGACCATAATGGCCTTTCATTTATGCTTATTATTTCTACCACCTGCCACAGTGCCTAGCACTAAAAAAATGTTGACTTTGCAGGTGAATCAGTTTCCCTGTGGGTTCTCAGAAATGATAAAGAAGGTTACTATAGTAAGAACACGTCCACTCGGGCTCAGCCAGCCAGGTGATGCTCTTCCATGCTGACACTGTCAGTGAGAGCCTACACTTAACCACGCCTTGAGAGCTGCTCACATGAGCTCTTAGGGACCAGGAGCTAGCATGGCGCTTTCATAGAGCAGGCTCATGTAGGACCGAATATGCTTTCTGCTTTTTTTGAAGGGGAAGGAAGGGAGGAAGAGAGGAAGAGAGGGAGGGAGGAAAGGAAGAACGAAGGGAAGGAAGGGAAGGAAGAAAGGGAGAGGAGGGAGAGAAAAAGAGGAAGAAAGGAGGGAGGGAAAAAAGGGAGAGAGGGAAGGAGGGAAGGAAGGAGGGAGGATGGGTGGTTCTACAGTCCTCCCTGTTCAATGTCACAGAAACGGTAGTAACAGTGGGTGTCCCAGTGTATAGATAACTTCATTGCCACAACAGCTTGTAATGTTTTGCTGACTAAAGAGTATGAGCACCTTTTAAGGTTTACACTAGGGACTCAGGTGGGAGTTATGCCCCAGCTGTGCTGCTTCCTGAGCACAGGTGCGCTCCAGATGTGGCGCTCTCCATCGCACTGACTGAAGTGAAGCAGAAATAGTAACATCCTCCTGAAGACACCAAGAAGCCAAATGACTTGCCCAAGGTCGCTCGACAAATTCTGACAGTTCTTGAAGACAGCTGTCCCAGGACTCTGGCTTCCCAGTCCTCCAGCAAACTCCAGAGTCCTCCATCCTACTCCAGTCTTCTGCAGTCCCTGGGCTCTGTCATTACCAGTAAGAGTAGCCTCTCTCTGGCCTGTTCCTATTCTCTAATCATCCCTCAGGATACTTCTAGAAGCTCAGTTTCAACCGTAGTAGAAACTCTAACACATGAGACCCTCTTCCAGGTCTCATTCACTCTGAGTCAGGGTCTCACTATGTAGCCCAGGCTGGCCTCCAACTTCTGATCCTCCTGCCTCAGCCTCCCAATTGCTGGGATTACAGGTGTGTGTCACCACATCTGGATCTCATTTACTTTTTCACACAGCTGAGAGTCGGGTCCGTCGTTATAATGCATGCACTGGGAATACGCACCTCCCTGTTCTTTGCTTCCACTTTAGCTGCTGAGCAAAGCCCTGGTTCACTTAACCGCAATTCTCCATCTCCTGTGCCTCCCTCCAGCAGGGCTGAGAACACTGCATGGCTGCGCTGCTTGGTGTCTATGTCTGTTCATCCCCAGTGAAGCCTTCCTGCTGCCCAGCTGTCGTTCCACGTGTCCCTGTTTTCACTCTCTGGAACTACTGTTGCTTCATACCCTCTCTACTCAAGCCTCCATCACCTTCCCTGTCCACTCTCGTCACCCTGCTTCTTGCTCTCCAAAGAGCTTCCACACTTACCGTACCAAATCCACCGACCCCTGCGTTCTTTCCCCTTGAGGGAAGTAATGAGCTGTCCTTATTCCCAAGGCAAAGCAGCTCCTCTGTCCCCGTGGACACTAGATCCCATTCTGTGTGTGTCTTTGTGTGTTTGAGACAGGGTCTCATTATGTAGCTTTGGCTAGCCTGGGACTTGCTATGTAGAACAAGTTGACCTCAAACTCACAGGTATCTGCTTGCCTCTGCTTCAGTTTACTTAAAGGTATGTGCTACCATGCCAGCTCTTTTTAAAAGACAGTTTATTTTTAACTGTGTACACCCACACATACACGTCTTTGTGGGTATAGGCAGGGGTGAGGTGCTCAGAGTACAGAAAAAGATGTTGGAAGCATGGAGCTGGAGTTACAGGTGGTTGTAAAATGTTGGAGATGGGTGCTGGGAACTGAACCCAGGTCCTCTGCAAGAGCAGTCAGTGCTCTTAACCGCTGAGCCATCCCTCGAGCCCTCACCCTCTCCATTCTTTATTCTACTTTCTGTGAGCAGCCATTCCCACCCTAAAGTAAGAACAAATGAACATTTTGCATTTTATTATTTTCAGGGAAGACGCACAGTTTCACTAGAAACAATGATTTTTCTTGAACAGTAGAAAAAAGGCCTTTTAAAAAAAAATCTGCTGTCCCAGATGAAAAGTCTCCCCAGCAAGCACTGGGCCAGTTCTGAGAGGAGGAACCAGTGTGGTGAAAGTTACCTACAGGAAGTTCAGTGCAGAGTTCTCCACAAGTCTTGTTTAGTTCCGAGAGGCTCCAGTTCCTCAGACTAGGATGCAGGTGGGCTCACTCCCCAGGGGGCTGCATTTGCTTACAGAACTCATCAAACTGCTGCTGCTCCAGCTCTGTCATGACTCTGTTGAGAGCGTAGATCTGAGGGAAGAACAGATACATTAGCAGTAGAAGAAGCTGCATTTCTACCAGGAGGGGCTGTGAACAGCAGCTTCTGTTGGGGGTGTGGAGCCAGCAGCAGTGAGGGTGTGGTCTTTAGAGGACAGTACCTGACAGGTCTGAGGGAAGTCAAGGGAGGCAGCAGGCCATGCACTGGAGAGAATCTTGAAAACATTTTAAGCTTGTTGGTGGAGGTTGTCCTCTTACCTCCACACATAAATGTAGCAAGGAAAAAAAAAAATGTTCAGAGGAGAGCCAGTCTAGGGCCAGAAAGGTTTGTCCCCAGGACCCACAACTGCCTTTAACCAGTTCCTGGGGATCCTATGCCCTCATCGCCTCCATGGGCATTGCTTACTTGGTTCACAGAGATACTTGCAGACAAAACACTCATAAAAATAAAAGTATCTGAGAGGCACTTGGAGGCAGAGGCAGGTGGACCTTTGTGAGTCTGAGGACAGTCTAGTCCACATAGTGAGTTCCAGAATAGCCAGTGCTATATAGTAGAGACCACGCCTCAACAAAACAAAATCTGAGAGGCAAAAGTGGGATAGAAGTTGGGATGGCTCAGCAGTTAGAGCACTGTTGCTCTTACCATGGGACTGCGGGGTTCAGGTCCCAGCACCCATGCTCCAGGCAAACACAAATATACATAAATAATGGTTAAAAAATAAATCTTAAAAAAATGGCTGTGTGTGGTGATTCATGTCTTTAATCCCAGCACTCTGGAGGCAGAGGCAGGAAGATCTCTGAGTTCAAGGCCAGCCCGGTCTACAGAAAGAGTTTCAGGCCAGGCGGTAAGTTCATAGAGAACAGCAAAGGAATGATTAGCATAAAATTAAACAAAGCAGCTTATGTGAATGGGACCATGACCAGAAGTGAGCATTGGAACTTCCAAGTTACTGGTCTATTTCCCGTCTTTCCTCTTTCCTTTTTCTTTCCCTTCGAGACAAGGCCTCACTATGTTACTTAAGCTGGTCTTGAACTCATGTACCTACTGATCCTCCTCAGCCTCCCAAATGCTGGGACTACAAGTGTGTGCCACTGGGCTTGGCTTCAAGTTCAGTTTCTTAGGCTGAGTGGTAGGTACGAGGGTGTTTATTCTTCTTATACCACACATGATTACATGTGTACTTTATAATATAGTTGAAAAGCAGAAAAGTCTCTGCTTTGTAGGTTTGATACCTGCCAGCCTTTGTGATCTGTATAGTACTTTCTGTTCTGGGACTGACAGGCATATTAAGTGCGTTCTGGAGACCTTCCAGTCAAAGAGAGAATGGTAGGAGAAAGGAGGAAATAAGCAGGGCATACAGAGATTTACAATGTCCAGGGTGTCTGAGCTAAGGAGTGAGACTCTCGGCCTAGAAGGAAAGGATCACAGCAGTGTGATGTGCTGTTCCACCTGATAGCAAATCCCCATCCCCAAACACGGCATTCCTCCTTTCTGGAATATGGCATCTTTTTCCCTTCCTCCTGAGGAGGTGATGGCACATTCCTCAAGGAGATTCCATTCCATTCTGGGGAACACAGACAGAATAACAAGACAGCTGTTGGGGTGATGTGGGAGTGATTTCTTATTAATAAAGAAACTGCCTAGGCCCATTTGATAGGCCAACCCATAGGTAGGCGGAGAAAACAGAACAGGATTCTGGGAGAAAGAAGCTGAGTCAGAGAGTCGCCATGATTCTCCCGCTCCAGACAGACGCAGGTTAAGATCCTCCCTGGTAAGCCAGCTCGTGGGCTACACAGAATATTAGAAATGGGTTAGAACAATATGTAAGAGCTAGCCAATAAGAGGCTACAGATAATGGGCCAGGCAGTGTTTGAAAGAATACAGTTTCCGTGTAATTATTTCGGGCATAAGCTAGCCATGCGGGCGGCCCTGCCAGGGACGGAGCCCTGCCGCTCCTATCTCAACATTGGGGGAGCAAATGGTGGCCTGGGGCCGGGGGTGTAGCTCAGTGGTAGAGCACAGGCACATATAGACTCTGGGCTCAAGCCTTACACGACAGGTAAAACCATGAGGTGACTAAGTGGGGAGCACTGCTCTGACCACAGGCCTGCCCCTACTATGGCTGGACTCCAGTCACCCCACTTCTTTTCCAGAAGGATTCACAAAGGCTAAGTGGGAACTAGTCACACCTGCTCAGCATTTGCTCACACATGTGCAGGCCTGGCTCAAGCTGACAGAGAGGAGCTAGCAGGTGCTGCTGCCAGCGTGCACACCCAATCTGACACCTCAGCAAGCAAATCTGGATACAACCAGCTGGTCCCTCTAAGTCCACATGGTAAGAGCACATCGGCTTGGAGGCATGGTGTCTCCAGACCTTGATCACTGCTGGTAGTAGTGATCACAGAAGGTAGGGGCACACCTTCTGTGCGCCAGGCACCGTGCTAAGTGCTTTCCATATGTAATTTCTATTCCTTATGATACTGTGAGGTAGATACCACCACCCTCATTTTACCAAAGAGGCATCAAGGAAGTGTTGTTCAGAAGTCTATTTTCCAAGGTCATGTGGGAAGAATGAGTGGAAGCCAGCAGGGACAGGAACAATGCCCTCCACATCTATCTTTCAGTGTGTGCAGAACAGTTTGGGGGCTGTTTCTTACAGCTCCCCTTGAACTGTCTGCTAAAGCACAAAGCAATTAAGATAATCTTGGATCTGGGTAAAGAAAGGGCACATTTATTTATAGAACGGAGGACCACAGCTTTCAGATGCCCTGCCTTAGGCCACGGGGAGACTTTGGGGTAAGGGAACTTGAGACATGCTCCCGAGTTTATTATGATTACTGGAATGCACACTCTATGAAGGCAGGAACTGTTCTGTCTTGTCCTGTCATGTGTCTCACTCAAGCCCATGCGCTGGTGCATCTGTTTAATAAATGGATCCAGTAAACAAAGTTGGACAATATCAACTGTCAGACCAAAAGGAACAAGAAGTCTCACACGACCAACAGAAGTGCAAGCTTAAGGAATCCCTCTGAAAGTTATTTGGCAATGTCTAAGAAAATTGAAATGACACCTGGTAATTTCTCTGGTCATACCTCACAGAAATCCTAGCATAGATGTCAAGAAGCACCTAAAAGGTTTTCTTTACCACAAATGTGTGTAAAAAGCAAAATGATAAATATTTACAATATCCATCACAGGAGGGATGGGTGAACACTGAATAAGGTGGTTCAGGGGCTGGAGAAAGGGCTTGGTGGTTGAGCCTTTGCTTCTCTTCCAGAGGACCCTGGTTCGAATCTCAGCACCTCTGTCAGTGCTCATAATCACCTGTAATTCCCTTCTAGAGCATCTGATGCACTCTTATGGCCTCCATGGGCACCTGAACTCATGTCCACATACCCACCACACTCATAATTAACAATAAATCTTTTTAAAAAGTTTATAAAGTAGACACTATAAAGAACAAAGAAAACAGATCAAGAGTAACATGAACAGCTCTAAGAGCCATGCAAACAAAGCTCAAATGTACAGATAATGTATTCAGCTATGTGAATGAAAATGCATCTAAAAAAAGGGGAGGGGGAGTAGAGCCATGCATCTCGCTGAGTTCTGAGTTCGAGGCCAGCCTGGTCTACAGAGTGAGTTCCAGGACAGTGAATTCCAGGACAGCTAAGGCTATACAGAGAAACCCTCTCTTGAAAAAAATAAATAAAATAAAAAAGGCTTTACCCATGGAGATAGAGAAAAGGTGTAAGGCAAATGGTCAAAGGGGACAGTAAACTAACTTATGTGACTTTATTTAGCTTAAGAAAATTCTATGAAAATTCAATCCCACTGACCACTACCAGTTGGAGAAAGCTGTGTTTTAAAATTCCTCAAACACACACGCAACGAAGAGGCAGAAAAGACCAGCAAGCTTATTCCTGATACTAAATATTAAAATACTCACGTCTGGATATGGTTCATTGGCAATGTAAACGTTTTAAAGCTTTTTATCCTTAAAATGCTTAAGTGTTGAGAGAACAAGGAGACACAGGGTGGGCTCAAAGCCTGGGCCTTTACATGGTTAGGAGCAGACGCTTAAAAATTGGTGGTGGTGGTGGTGTGTGTGTGTGCATGCCACGACCATGTGGAGGTCAGAGGACAGTTTCCTGTAGTCCTCCTCTTCTACCTATATATGGATTCTGGGGAGCAGACTCAGGTAGTCGGGCTTCTGCCGCAGGCACTCACCCACTAACTAGCTACTTTTCACACCAAACGCACACGTGTAGCCGGGTCCCAGGACACACTGGCATTTCATGAATTCTGATCCATTCATTTATTCATATTCTCCCCCCATCCTTCCTTCATCCGCGGCCGCTTTTTCTCTTTTCACGCGTTCCTCAGATCCTTAGCACAAAATCTCTGTGCCAGGAGTCACCTAGAGACCTGGTGGTACAGGTGGGGATCCTGACACTAACTTGGCCTGTGACTCTCGGCTTCCACTTTACCATTCTAGACCTCGATGGCCTTTCTTCCCCTAAATGTCCTGCCTAGAGACAAGCAGGGGCCCCTAGCAAAGTTTTCTCTGCTGTGTTTTCTTCCAGCACCTTCTGGACACAGGCACTGTGAGCCCCCTCCTTAGTCTTACCTCTGCTCTTTGTCTTTGCTTCAGCTCCTGCTGGGCAGATTTCTGCTTAGCCTTCTCCACTCTGAAGGCAGGTTCTTTAACTTTGGATTTTTCTTTCCGGGCAGGTGGATCCATGGCTGGGCTTCTGAATGCTTTTTGGTCAGCTCTGACCTGATGGTACAAAAAGAGAAGGGCTTGCTAGTCTTTCTCCCAACTCCCTCGCTTGGCAGCGAGGCAGGGTGCCCTGGAGTCTCACTGCCAGCACCTCGCTGTGTGTTGCTAGCCGAGTCTCCTCACTTCGGAGTCTCAGTTTCCTGCACAATGGGACAGCAGTCATTTTCTGGGCCTTTCCCTACCAACACCGGGTGAGCAGCAGATGAAAAGGACCGAGAAGGCAGCTCCAACCCGGGGGCGTGCGCCACGGCCGGGTCTCTGAGGCCGAGGGGCAAGCAACTCGGTCCCAGGCAGCGCCCTCAGCCAGCCCCGCCCTCCCGGCCTCCCGGCCCCTCCGCAGCAAGATGGCGGCTCGGGGGTCCGCGCCCTTCCCTACCCGGTCTCGGGCTCCTGGCCTCCGCCACGTCGCAGACCAGCCCCCACGCGGGGATCAGCCTCGCCTTCCCCTTCCGCGGGACCGGAGCGCCCAGCCCCGCTGCCCTTGAACTGGGCGGGCCACGCCGGGGAGGGCGGGGCCGCGGCCTAAGGTGTCCCTCCCGCAGGAGCCACTGCGCGCGCGCAGACAGCTCACCTGGGCGTGGCCAGACTGAGAGAGGCGGAGTCGGAGGCGGGTAGGGCGGGGTCTGTGGCTGGAGGGCGGGACCTGGAAGTGGGAGGGGAGGGACCTGTGGCAGGGACGTTCTTACAAGTAACCAAAGCTTTTCCAGGCTTCTAGTTTCTGGGACAACTGCAAGACTTTGAAGGGCGAAATGTGATTCCCGGGATTGGAATTGGTTAGCACTGGAATTTTGAGCATCAGGTTCTAAAAAGTCAGGATTGCTGACTGCTTCCTTCCTGATTTACAGGTTTTTCTTTAAGGAGGATCAAATGCTATTATTCTGTTTGCCACCGTGCTTCGAAAGCTTTGAAAAAAAAATAACATTTTAAATACACGGCCCCTAGTCAGGCCTAGTGGTGCACACCTTTTTTTTTTTTTTTTTTTTTGTTTTGTTTTGTTTTGTTTTGTTTTTTTTTTTTCGAGACAGGGTTTCTCTGTGATTTTGGAGCCTGTCCTGGAACTAGCTCTTTTAGACCAGGCTGGTCTCGAACTCACAGAGATCCACCTGTCTCTGCCTCCCGAGTGCTGGGATTAAAGGCGTGCGCCACCACCGCCTGGCTGCACACCTTTAATCTCAGCACTGGGGAGGCATAGGCACGAGGGTCTCTGAGCTGGGGGAAGGGAGGCGTGGAAAGAAAGACACCATGGATAATCAAAGGGGTGTAAAATAAAATTTCTAGCTATCGTTTTCATTTGTTATATTAGCAAGAATTGACTAAAGAAGAGAAGGGAGAGGAGGATCCAGAGTAATAGCAATAGCTGCTTCCCCTTGGGTCTTCCTGTCTTCCTGGCACTCTTCTTAGAACATGATATTACTAAGTCCCTAGTCCTCATAGACATGTACCAATAAGCTCTCTTCTTCTTTTTCCTTTGAATGAGTTGGTTTAATTCAAAGTGATACAGAATTCAGAGTGCAACAAAGACGAAACAGCAGGCTCTGGCAGGATTCCAGACTGGGTTTACTTTCAATTCACAGCTGAGGTAGGAACTGCTGAACACTAGAGACAATGAACCATTGTATTATTTATTTTATTTTTCCCTATTTAATATTTTTATTGCTTTATAAATAATACCATTCAAAATTTCCACCTCCCCCCTCCTCCCATATCCCTCCCTCTCCCCCCTTATTATTATTATTATTTTTTTTTACAAAAGTTTATTACAATGTTCAACAGGCTCCAGGATAACACTTCATTCCAGCTGTAGATGGCAAAGATGTTACGGCAGGGAATCCAGATGTTCACATAGGAATGGAAGAGGGTCACCATCATCTCAGATATGAGGAACAACTTACTTTTTGCCAGATTTCTTAATTCCACCTGTGGCCAGTGGTCCCTTCCCCGCGGCCTCGGCTTTTAGCTCCTCGGAGTTTCTTCTGCTCCTCTTTTTGTTTCTGCTTGAAAGCCTTATCTTCCTCGTCCATTTCCTTGGCCTGCTTCTTGGGCTGTTTCAGGGGCTTCTTTTTGCCACCTTCTGGGCCCGACATGGCGCCTCCAGACACCCCCTTCTCCAGATCCCTTCAGACCTGCTTCTTTGTCTTCTGTCAAAGTGGTAAGGATTTCTGTGCAAGACGGTGCACACTTTTTTTTTTTGAAATATTTATTTATTTATTATGTATACAATATTCTGTCTGTATGCCTGAAGGCCAGAAGAGGGCGCCAGACCTCTTTACAGATGGTTGTGAGCCACCATGTGGTTGCTGGGAATTGAACTCAGGACCTTTGGAAGAGCAGGCAATGCTCTTAACCACTGAGCCATCTCTCCAGCCCCCGACGGTGCACACTTAATCCCAGTACTCCAAAGGCAGAGGCAAACAGATCTCTGTGTATTTGAGGTCAGTCTAGTCTACCTAGCAAATTCCAGACCCCCAGGCCTACACATTAAGCACCCAGTGGGGAATCTACAAGGACTCTCAGGTACTTTCAGTCTAAGTGTGAGTTGTTATATTGTCTTGGGA